ACCATAAAACGTACCACGTACCACAAATTTTTAAAATGATTTCATACATTTTCTTCAACAGAAAAATGGGTTCCATTTGTAAACATTATTCAAATGAAGTTTACTTAATCTGAATAACTGACATTTTAATGAAAAATACCAAAACCGTTGTCAGGTTGTGTCCGTCTTAGTTTCGACATATTTTTCAAAATATAATTATGCCATTTTATTACGGTATTGGACCACATATAGCAAGAGCCACTAAAACAATTAAAGTCAATCAATCTTTCTTTTTTTCGGCTGAAATAATCCGTTTAGGCAAGAAGCAGGTAGTACATACTAACACAGAAAAAATTTTGATTGGCTAGAAATAAAATTTGAACGTTTCTAAACAAAACTCCACTTCCATTATCAACGGCATACTGTAATTGCTAAAACTCGTTTTCAAAATATTTTTGCCAGTGAATTGAAGACACTGAAATATAATTCAAAAAACCATAGCTGGTATATAAAAGCAAAGATTCTAAATTTTTTTACATTGGTGAACTGCCGTACTAAATCCGGAAGTCCGGCTTAAAAATCCTTAGATTTACCTTCAGACAAAAGAATAAAATTAAAACTTATTTAGACTTTCCTCAATATCTCTGCAGGAAAAAAACTAAATGCAACAATAATTTGCAGCTTAATAATTTAAAAAATGTTGAGTACAAAAAAAGTAACACTAAGTAGAAGCAAGCTAGAATAGAGAAGTTTGAGGTTCCGGAAAGTGAGCTATCCGGAAAGCGACTTTTCCTAGCATGGAAAATTGCCAAAAGCAAATTTTTGCGCTGCTAGTGACTAGCCAAGACCCGTAACCAATAAATCGAAGAACTCCATGTGACTACTGCGGGTGGTCCGATTTTCCATAAGCTGTTCGTTTCCTAGCCACTTTTGCAGCATTTGCTTTAAAAAACATTATTTTTACCCAAGGATTAATTTCTGGAAACTTTTGGTTGGAATTTGAGGGGCGGCCCATCACCTGAGCTGGTTGCTGGTTGCTACATTTGTTATCGTGGAGCCCATCTTTAACTGTATTAGTACTTGGCACAAATGCCTTCTAAAATTCTCACGTTACCTAACTAGCTATTTCTTCTCAACTTTTATTTTATTTTATTTCATTTAATTGTGTATAGATTTTGTTGACTTCTAACTTTTTAAAGCATCGTGTTTTTTTTTTTTTTACAGTTATCGGCCCTTAAGTGGAAAAAGGCTAATCACGTACTCTGCCTTACCAAAAATCCAAAAAGCGCCGTCTCAAATAATAGTAAAAAGAATATAGATCTTCTGGAAAAGTTTTTTTGTTGCCTAGCTCAACTTTTTTGAAATTCAGTTTTTAATTCTTCTTGGCATTATCATCCTTATAGGCCTGGGTGATGTTAAATGAATAAATACCAATTTCGTGAATATCTTAAAAACCTACTTCTTTTAGGAAAAATACCAATTTTTGACTGCTTAAAAATAATTTTCCATATAAGACACTCCTTAAAGCGATGAAATTTTTTTCCGAAACTGAACTCCACTAGTTCGTGTGTTACACGAGAAAAATAAAAGTAAAAGAACTTCCTCATATTTGATGTTAAAAAAGTTTGAAAGTTCTGACCGCCGCGTATTAGTGTACATACTGATTAAGTAAGATTGGTTCAACCCTTCACAGCGATGTTTACGTTCCCTGACGAGGCAGAGTACGCAAGGCGTTGTTTAGAAGCTGAAGGCTATTATAATATTTGAAATTCTTTTGGTTTGATTAGTCATTTCTGTAATCTCATGAGAAACTTTTAAATTTTCAGAAGAACACATCAGAAAGTAAAAGTTGCAAAAATAAAAACACTAATAAGAGTATAAGCCTAAGGAAGCAAAAAAAGTTTGTTAAGGATAAAAGGAGTGGAGGATTCCTTTTCGGCAAGGAATAGTTTAATGAATTTCATAAGACCCATGAATCAAATACGGCATCAAATGCAGGTGATTAAAAGAGAAAGTAGATTAAATGAAGGAGGACTTAGTGGGATTTAAAAAGTCCTTGTAATTCTAAAAGATTCTTTTTTACAGTTCCGTGCCAAACTGAAAAATAAACGGCACTTTTCAAATATTTCTACAGCGTCTCTAACAATTTTCTTTTTTTTGTCGATAACTATTGCCTCTTATACCTGTTGTTTTCGAACCTCCTAGTTTCAACTAGCAGAATTCCAAAAAATTGAGTATAAATTTTTTACATTTTATTTATAGTAGCGTTTTTCTTATACGCCTTTGTAAGCAGTGAAGAGCGGCAAAGCTTTGGTGTGAAGTCTATGCATTGGCCATGTAAGCGTTACTTTTTCAATCCAGGTTTACAATTAGGTGTCTTTTGTATTGCTGCGCTACCCTATGACCTACTGTTGCTGGACACAATCACTTTTGAAAGCCGAATAATGACAGCGAGTTTCCATCATTCAGGTAATGTGACTGTTCTCCATAGTTTGTTCAATCTGTCTTTTTGCAAAGAAAGGAGAAAAAAATCCTAGGAAACCCACTCAAGAAAACTTCGTCCAACTAGTCTTTCGCTCCCTTAGACGGAGAAAAATTAGATTCAATGTAGGCAGAATAAACGGTTACACTTACACGAACAGAACACATACATAACTTTAAAACTTATATACGAGTCAAAAAATTTACTAGCATTCAGAATTTGAGCTCTTAAAAAAAAAAAAAAAACAAAGCCTGGATCATGGAACATCCACGGACGCTTTACTCTAAGCAACCATTGGAGGTAACCCTGCAGGGCAATGGACCATAGTCAAGGGTGAATGACTAACAAACTAAGGAGATACGTGAAGGGTTTTCTAAAACAGTGGCTAATCTGTCACAACCAGAAATTTCTCATACGAAGAATTTAGGTAATTTATTACTAAGTAAAGAAAACAAGATTCAAACAGTGCATGCGAAGGTAAAAAAGCACCATTCAAAGCTTCTCTCAAACATTTTACAATAGAAATAAATTGCTTTGTAACTAGGAAAACTGCATCAAAAACAAGCAAATCCTGAGTAATTATGACCTGTGAGAGCGTAGGCTTCAGAGAGTATTAAGCTTCAAGTGCGAAAAAAGTGTTATTAAAGTGAGCAAATTAAAATGAAAGAAGAAAAGCGAGCAACGTTAAACTATTACATTACATTACAAAGCAAACCTAAAAAAAATTTTTTTGTTGGTAACCTAATTTTAGGACAATTCAAGCGAAAACGACCGCAATTGACCAGAAAATTAATGACACCTAATAACTTACAGCGCTCAGAACAAACCACTCGAGATCGTTGTAGTGTTTTGTAACTAGAGTCATTGAGTTGAAGGTGAACGTACAGGCCAAACAGCTGAAATGAAGCAAATGTTTGGAACGAGATCACCTTACGTTACGTGCACTGCATTCTTCATATATTTGCAATTT